GGAACCTTCACTATCAGAATCACTTTCATCCAATTCAGATTGCTTTTTCCTACTGGATTCTTCCTGAACAGAATCATGTAATATCTCCACATGAAAGCCAGGGTACCATTTCTTGGCTTCACGTTTCCACTGCCTCAGTAGAGTTACTGGACAAATAATTATGCTCGGCTTGTACATACCACTATAGTGCAATGATCCAAGGAAAGCCAAAATTTGTATGGTTTTACCAAGTCCCATCTCGTCCCCAATAATCCCTCCAGCTTTCTGGCAATGGAGCTCCCATAACCATTGCACACCGACCTTCTGATAGTCAAAAAGATTGTCGAATATTGTTTCTGGAATTTTCAGTCCCCCCTCGAGAGTCACAAATGAGGTCCCTTCATCTGCATCTCCTACATCTTCAATGCTATCATCTTCATTGCTGGAGGTCATCCAATCTTTAAAAGAGGTAAGCAAGTGGGAATTTTTTCAGCAATTTATTCACTCAATGGAGCAATACAGTAAATATCAAATTTAAACACAAAACAGATATGTGCAGCATTAGAAAAATATGAAAAGACAGATGAGTTCCCATAACCTTGAAGATATACCCACCTTCCTGTGGATTCTCTTCACGAGAGACCAACTTTGTCCACCTCCTCCCAGGTTGAGGCCTTCTCTTCTTTCTCTTGCATCGTTTTTCCTTCTCAGTTTCCATTTCAAGAGATTGAGGGATCTTCAACGGTGTTCTCAGCCTTTTAAATGGGAAGGTTGGTGCATCAAGTCTCGGCAACAGTTCGGGATCGAGCAATTTTGTTGAAGGACGAGATTTTGAAGCCTCAGACATCGACTTGACTGCTCTGGCAATGCTTGACGAGGCCAGATCATCAACTTCTACCGTGTCCACAGAGACCACAGGCCTGCTGGATGACCCTGGTTCTTGAATACGACGTTCGTAACCTTTGAGCTTGTGAAAGGGAGTCAAAATTCCCTTACGAATCAACTCATCCCTTTCCTACAACTCAAACAACGTTTTTATTAAGAATAATTTATAACCATCTATTACAGTCATCCAAGTAATAAAATCACTCACTGTTTCCACAAAACCCGCAGATGCTGCACTTAAAACAGCACCATAATCATCATCCTCACCAAATGGAACTCTTTTAAGTCGTTTATTAGGTTTCTGATTGTTTCTCTCAACCTCTCTAAACCTCTCCTTGTCTCTGGATTTTTCCTTTATAAGATTTATTTTCAAACTGTTATCATGCTGACTATTCTTGGAAGCATCTGATATTTCCTTCTCAAGTTGATCCCTTGTTTTGATCAAGCTTCTCAATCGATCAGCGGCAAGGGCATGATGAAGGGTCGAGTCATTTGCAGATTGTTGAAGAATATTCTTCTCAATCTCAGCATTATCCTGCTGGGTTTTGATATGAACATCGGGAGAATCATCCTGGTTGGAGTTCTCTTCTAACTGTTCCAGAGCAGATGTGACCGCCTCTATTTCAAGCTTAACTTGCTTCAATCTGTTGACCAGGTTTCCTTGACTTGCAGATGACGTGTCACGATTCTCTGTCTCAGCAGATTCACCCACCCTGCCTCCAGCAGAGTTGTCACTGTCTCCCACATCTTTTGTCACCTATATCACGAAAAGCCTCTATCACTTCACACACACTCTTAGAATATAAATATTATAACAATATATGAACAATAAAAATTACATAGACTATACTCAATCAATCAATCAATCAATCAACAAGCCGCTAAAATCCCACTAAGTGGGGTCGGCTATATGGCACATGTCGCCATCATGCTCGATCAAGGAAAACAGTATGTAATTTAAACATACAAAATCAGACCCCTTAACTGCAGTGCACTGTGAGAGGAGGAGCAGAGTATACTAAAAAAACGAAAATTAAATAAGAGAAACAAAAATTGACATTTGATATATGTCATACTATCTCCAGACGAGGACAGTGAACTAAAACTGAAATAATGTGAATCGGCTAATGTGATAAAATGAAATGATCTCTTCCATGGAAATATATCGAGCACAAGAATATTGTCAAATATTTTGGCAGCATATACAATACGGGAAGTAATTTGATCGAGCAAAATAGAATGTGAGCTTCAAATGAACAAAATTAACCTTCTCCAAAATGTCGCGCTCAATGTCCTCGGGATTTGCGGATGTTACACCTAAAGTGCTCAGTAGAACCCTGTCCTCTTCCTCTTCATCCATTGAACTAAATGATAACTTGCTTAATCAACAAAACTGCCACCTGCAAAACCAAGATATGTGCACTATTCACACACCTATGAACGATATTGTCGATGACTTGAACTTTGTCTAAGTAGTGTTTACATTTTAATGCAACTTGGGAAAGATTGAATCACGCCCACCATCCTAACCAATATTCATAAGAATGCTATGCAAATAATAATCAATGCACTTCCCATTGTACTTGCAACAAACCAAAATCACACAGTTTCTGAAGTCAACAGAACTATAATGAGAAACTCATAATTCAGGCAATTGTCCAGCTGAAAGTACGTCAATCATTCTTCAATGTATCAATTTTACATGGAAAGCAGAAGGAAAGGCTACAAGTAAGACTCAGAAAAATTTAAACCCAATAGTTCTATAATTTCTACCAAAGATCAATTTGGAAACACAACTTCACCTTTCACCTACAGGTAACTGTGGGAAAAATTTATCGAATTTGAATCCCTGGAACGCAATCAATCAATCAATCCAGTTTTCCAGTGATTAATCCGAAATTCACACATAATAATTGAATAAATAAATACACAAGCAAACAAAGTTCATTAGAAAATGAAACATATATTCGATTGTTACATGCTCGATGTATTTTTCCTCGAGTACGATAAATTGAGCAGGTTTAGCTATTTGCTCACAGCTCAATCGAGAATCGATTAACGCAGACGAGGAAACTCTGTGCATATACAGATACCCGTTTTTCCTATTTTCATTATTAGTATTCTTTTTGTTTTGTCAGACTTTTCCCTCAAGGCTCGTTTACATGCAGTGGTTGGAGTAGATTAGCTCGGATACCGAAGGATATCATTATTCGGGCGTTTATATCCCGAGTTAGAACATTTATCCCGAGCCCGATTGGCCCGCCTTGTTGGGCCAAAATGACGATGAAGTGTTCGTCCCTAAAAAAGGGAATGCTAGGGTATAAAAGTTTTTTTTTGTTTTGTTTGGATTTTTTTATTTTGTTTGGTTAATTTTAAAAAATGAGGTATGGTCAGATGTTAGTGAAATTTTGAGCTTATATTAAAATAATATTTAAAATAAATTAATTAAAGTTTATTTAATATAAAAGTAAGAGAAATTGTGGATTAAAGTTGATATAATGTGTAAGAATAATTAAGTGGTATTATTTAATTACACAGAAATTCTAAAGTCCCATCACTCGATCTATGATACCCTCATCATAAACCAATAAAATTTTGACACTTCACTCATTTAGGACTTGATGCACCTAATATTTTCCTATAAGCGGTAATATAGTCTCTTAAATGGCATTACATATTAATTTCAAACGTGCTGAGCTTAAGTGTCAAGCTCGCATCTTTCGAGTTCCTATGTGCAAAATTACATGGTTTGTTATTAGGTTTGAGTATATTTTAATTTACTTCCAATCCAAAAATAATTAGGTTCGAATTATCCATACATATGTTGATTATTTATGATCATGTTACATATATTAATTTTATTTTAATATCATTTCTTATTATAATTATCTGTGATGTATTTTAAAAGTTAATAACTTTTATACTTTTTATCAATTTTACATATATAGTATATCAAATTAATCATCTCTTGATGAGTTTCGATTTAACATCCATATTGTATGTATAAAAAAGTAAATTATATTTATCTTTATAGCAATAATAAAATTATTTTTTAATATTAAGCAGAAAAATAAAATTATTTATCAATTAATATATTTATATTTCAAGTAGTTATATGATATAAGTTATAAAAATTACTATAATACAACAAATGTAAGTTGCATAAGTAACAAGTGTCAATATAAATATATAATAATATATAATCTTTGCAAAAAAGTAAATAAAAATTAAAATAATGTTTCTCATTAATTTTAAAATTTAAGAATAATTTTTTAACAAGCACGTGTGTTGTACTAGTTTTATAATTAAATAACAACTAGCACAATAATCGCGTATTATACAACAAAAAAGTTATATTCAAAATTAAAAATAATTAAAAAAAAAAGTATTTTAATGTTCATCTACTTTTTCAATAACTATACTAGTGCGTAGCCCGTTCGATGTACGGACAAATAATATTGTGAATTAAAGATGAGGTAAACAATATTAGGTAATAATTTAATTTGAAGATGTGGGTAAAAATTCTTAAAAAATAATTATAAATTAAAGACGTAGAGTTAACATGTGATATAATTTACCGTATAAACAATATATATTATATTGTTTTATATGTAAAATAAATTTAAAAAAAATCATCCTTACAGCCTACAGGATTAAGATCGTGGAAAATAATTATGATATAAGGCTATATATAAGCATACAAATTTTAATTTAAATAACTTAATCCAGTACAATACCCGTGTATTAAATGAATGCTAATTAGGAAATTTAAATTTAAATATAAAAAAATAAGGAATAAAGGTATTTGTTTTAAAAAATGTACTATTATTTATATTTAAAATGACAAATGTTACTTGTACGACTTAGTAGTATAATAATTTAATTTTTGCAGTTTAACAATTCATAGTTTTTAAGTTGCAGCTCTATACATCTGACATCTCTTTTTCTTTTTTGCCCAGACAGCTCAAGTTTAAACATTGCTTTATTGGCATTAGTACACCACCTCAAAACTAAACAATGTTGTTATCTCAGATACTTCATACTTGTGAAATGTTCAACAATTGCCTATGTGCAAGGATTCTTAACTTCACACAATTATTATCATTATGCATAAGTATAGCAAAAACACAAGTAGATTTGGTCATAAGAATTGCAGAGATAATTATGTTGATTCCCATCTAACTTGTTAGTTTTAGGTCGTCATTGCAAACAAGGAGAAATAGATAACCAAGAAAATCAAATATGGCAAGCCCGACTTTTACACGGCTTTCTGATCCAGACACATCACCAATGGAGATCAAGAAACAATTTCAAAACAAGTAAAAACAGTGCAATATCCAAAATTCAACGACCTTCCTTCTGTAGTAAATTCAGGAACTAGTTTTGCATTAAAAAAAACAAAAGATACAAGATTCAAAATCTAAGTCAACATCCAAAATAACCATAAACTATACCACTCAAGCGGCAGTTCCTTTCTTTAGCTTGGCAAGCTCTTGCCGAACAACACCAGCCCTCTGCAAATGTCAAACACAATATTTTTATCCCTTAAAAGAAAATTACTCACTGTTCAATTTTAAAAGATCATCCAGGGTAAATTCCTTGATTGCAAATGAAGTTTTGCAAGAGAGATAGAACTGAGGTACTTGCCTACCTCAGTTTTCAGATCACTACTCAGATAAGTTCAATTATGTACGTTCAATAGCACAATAAAAATAAAACCAATCCAAACTTTTCGAATTATGCAGTATTCAAACATCCCTTGTAAGCTATCCACATGATCTGTGGTTAAGCTGTTCCACATTATAAGCTTGTCATCCCTAAGTTTAATATCTTTTTCCCAACTATCTTCTTATTATCTTCCTGACAGACTTGCTCTCCAAGCACAAATCAAACTATAACCTCAAATGTTAAATTAAATTTCACATACCTTGATCTTTGCCAGCATCAGTTTGAAGCGATCAAAATCATTGAGTGCGGCCCTTCTCTTTTGAACAATAAGCTTCTTTCCCCAGGAACTCTTTTCCCATCTTGCCTTGACATCTACCATAAGAATCACAACACATTCACAATAACTATCAAATTCAATAATCACCAAGGTAAAGAAATTAATTAAACATATTAAAAGCACCAACCAGCAGCCTCCATAGCAGCTATAAGAGTCTTCTTCTTGGGAACCCTTTTTATGTCAATTTTAATGTCTGTTAGAGAAAGCCTCTTGAAGTTCATTTGGCTCCTTACCATGTCAGGGGCATCAACAAGAGCCTGTGGTGGGCAGAATGGATTGTATCACCACATATGCATGACAGAAAACATAAATACAGAGAGAGTAATTTAATTACATGAACATTGGAAAAATGGGCCATGGTTAAAAAAAAAAAAATTATTGAGACAACTAGGGATTAAAACCACCACATAAGAAGCAGATCCAAATTAAGTCAGGAGAATTTTAACTTCTTATTCTTCAAGACAAATAAATAACACACAGTAAACACTTACCCTGTTTTGATCGATAACGTCAACAATGACGACAAGCTTGCCATAGTCCTTGCCGTAGTTGACGAGGACCACCCTTCCGATCTCAACATACCTCTTGAACGGCTATCCATAAAAAAAATTACAAAACAGAGATCAAAATCCAGAAAATTCGAAATTCAAGAAGACATTAATGAAAAAGACAAACATTTGCAGGGAGCTCACCATCCCTGGAGTGAGGGTGTGCGCTGTGTGAGAATAAGCAGAGGTGAGTTGGAGCGAGCAATTGCAGAGCGATGTTTAGGGTTTTTAAGTCTGCCTATCAACCACAACAGAAGTGGGCTTTGCTACCTGTTTTGGTTCGTTTAACCCTCACTTGTTGGGCTTGTGTATTGGTCCATGTATGTTTGAAAAGTAAACCTTGAAAATTTACATGGGTTTCATTTTTGAGTTCAGTACATAAATGAAATATATATTTTATTGGAAAAAATCTAAGTAGGCTATGATATAGCACTCATGATAGCTAGGTGAACCGGCTTGAGTGGTTAGCTCGGGCGTGATCGATTCAATAAACCTCAGTTCGGTGTCAGGGCTTGATCTCGTAAGAAAGCTAGATGTAGAAGCTTAGGATATGAGTCGACTTGAACAAAGGAAATCAGGAGTCCAGCTCTTAATTGACCTCTGTCAAATGAGGGTCATTACGACCTGAAGATCGTACGAGTGAGGGTTGTGTTATCGACCTAGTAAGGGAATGTGGCTGCTAGGTCACGAGGACGCTATGATGACCTAAGGACCTAAGAGCCATATTGGGGAAGGGAGAAAAATCCTAGTAAGGATGGTAGGTATACCTCGATAAGGAGTCAAAGATCTCAAAACGTGTCATGATAGGAAACGAGATGATATAGGATATCATATGACTAAAGAACAGACCGGCTTATCACGACGGTCAAACCGGCATAAGTAGGAAGAAAACCGCGTGGGCTAAAGGATGATCGACCAAAGCAGAAAAGATCGAGCAGAATGGCAGGGCTGGTCGAGGATCGACCTAGCGGAGGGGAGCTCGACCATGTTGAGCTCGTAGCGGGAAGGAGACAGTCGAGAGCGTGACCTGAACGCGAGTAGGCGCGTGGGTGATATCAAGGGATCCCAACGGCCTATGCAAAGGAATATTTCCCCTCAGCGTAAAAGGGGACACGTGGCGAGAACCCAGTGGTGCAGAGTAAAAGTGGCAGTAACCACCTCTGACGTCCCTGACTTTTTTGACAATACGCGTACTGTGTATGTACGGACGGGCAGCGCGGGCAGGACAGCTCACCAAATAGCCGGGCAGCTCTTAGGGCAGGTATCTCACTCCTATATATAGGGGAGTGGGTCTTTTTTAGGGTTTACGATTTATCCATTACTCACTTTGGAAAATTGAACAAACACATACTGACTTAAGCATCGGAGGCTCTTCACCGGAAAACCCCTCCGGTGTGAGAGTTTTTGTGCAGGAGCGCGGCGTTCTATCGGCGAGGAAGAAGGAGGCAAACCGATTCCGAGCCGGTTGGAGTGTTTTGCGTTACCACGAGATATGGTAGGATCTCTTTTCAAGTAATGGGGTTGTTTGAGCAGGAAGATAATAAGGTTACCAAGTTTTACTCACTTTACGCATATTCCCTTTAATATAAAGTTTTTAAAAATCCATGAGCGAGATCTGGTTTGAGCGTCAGAGGTTTTTAGCCCGGACCCTTCCCAGCATTTTTTGCATGTCACTAGATCTCAAGGCAAAAGGTGGTTCGTGGTTGTGCCAGTTTAAACCCGATCTCAACGCAATTCGTCTATCAAATTGGCGGCGTCTATGGGAAGATCTAGTCTTTTATCGATTGGCAAGACTTGGTTTCTCATAAACCTGTTAAAGACCTCGAGATCACAGCTGAATAGACAAATGGCTTTACCACAAATCTCATATAGATGTTAATGTTTTTCTCAAACGGTATGTATGCAATTATTTTCAATTCATTCAGCAGACGTGTAAATCGGACTGCTTAAAATAAAATATTAAAAGTAAATCACACTTGATTAAAAGATTCCCAAGAGGCAAATAAAAAATCACCATGATAGCACAAGATTACCAAGTAAATCCTAGGTTTGTCCATTGTTTGCTAGCCATGTTTCTGGCCCGTTAGACTAGTTTCGGCTCGGAAGTCTTGCATATTCAAGACTATTAAATCTCGGGTGGAGGGTGTCTCTTTTCATCCCAATAGTACAAACATGCCAAAATGACTAATTAGCCCCAAAATCTTCTATTTTTTTTTTTTTTTTTTACCAAATTAACCTTTATGTGCAAGAAATTTACAGCATCAACTATTAAACGATGGAAGAATCCACATCGCTCCCACCCATCAAGATTGAGCTCTTTCACACCGTTTTTTAAAAGACAATTGAGTATGGAGGATGGCGGTGACGGCAGCATGGGAGGGGTGAGGTGAAGGTGATGGCGGGCAGCGGCTGAAACCGCTTGCTCTTGCTGCTGGTTCTGAACAGTTTGTTCAAGATCGAGCTCGGAGGAGGCGGTGGTGGCAGCGACGGTGGAAGAGGAGGGGCGTGATGGGTCCAGCCAAGCCCACAATCAATGAATAAGGAAGCAAACAATTTTGACAAGCAACCTTTAGCATTAAATTGAGCTGAATTTTATGACAACTGTGGGCTGTCATTCTTTGAAAATTTTGAGCAATCCTTCCCTATAAATAGCACCATACCGGGAGCTGAAAAAATGCACCAAACAGAAGAAAAAAAGGGAGAACAAGAGAGAGCAGAAATAATATTTCTGTGAGTGTTATTTTTAAGTGAAAGAAAAATAGAGTGTTTGAGTAAATCCTGTGAGTATGGGAAAAATACACCGGGTCGAGTATCATCTCTATTACTCCTTGTTTGTAATATTTGAATAGGAGTGGGGTCTTACTAGGTCACTATATTTTACATTTCTAGTGTAGGGGAGTGTGAAAAGATATTGTAATTATCTTGAAAATATAGTGGAATTGTTCAGAGGTTGTCCCGTGATTTTTTCCTCTAATTGGAGGTTTTTCCACGTTAAATCTTGGTGTCTTCTTTCTTGCATATTTTATTTATTTGGGATATTCTTAGTATGCTCTATGGTCGCAGTTTAATTTGATCTTCCACATTAAAAAAGAATTATTCCTGTTTGATTGCAAGAGATTTCTTTTGTCATTCTTGAGTTGCTGGGATTATTATTTTTATTCACCATTTCATAGTGGTGTTTTTAATTTACACCTTCCGCATTTGCGCATCTGAGCCCAACAAGTGGTATCAGAGCTTAAGTTGGGCTCTATATCAACCCGTGTAAATTAAATGGAGGAGAATGTGGGTACCATGGTGAAGATGACAGCAACAAATTACTCCATTTGGAAGCCAAAAATGGAGGACATACTTTTCTACAAAGATCTGTATGATCCTGTAGAAAAGGGAGACATCAAGCTAGATGATGTGAAGGATGACGATTGGAAAAAGTTACACAGGAAGGCTGTCAGTTTAATCCGACAATGGGTGGATATCAGCATATTCCACCACGTTGCCACAGAGTCGAAAGCCCATACACTGTGGAACAAAATCGAGCAGATGTATCAAAGGAAGACTGCACAAAATAAAGCTTTCGTTATTAGAAAGCTTGTGAATTTAAAATATCGGGATGGAAGGTCGGTTGCAGAACACTTGAATGAGTTTCAAGACATGGTAAACCAACTTGTACCATGGAGATGAAACTTGATGAAGAACTGCAGGCATTGTTACTTTTGAGTTCTTTACCGGATAGCTGGGAGACTCTGGTGGTCTCGTTGAGCAACTCTGCTCCTGAAGGAAAACTGACTTTGGCCCAAGTCAAAGACAGTATGTTTAATGAAAAAACAAGAAGAAAAGATTCCGGGGCAAGCAACTCCCAAGCCCTGGTCACAGAAACTAGGGGGAGAAGTAAAAGCAGAGGCCGGAATAACAAATCCAGAGATAAATCACAATTTCAATGTTTGTCCCATTTTTGTTGCGTATTCTTTGTCTTTTAGTCTTTATCTTTTTCCCCATTTTAGGTGTTTTAGTTGGTTTTTAGGTCGTTTTGTAGTCTATTTCGTCGTTCGCTTTATTTTAGTTTTTCTTGTGTTTTTCGGTATTTTTCCCAGTTTTTCGTCGTCGTTGGTGTGCAGGTTAGAAGTCCCGAGAGGATCGGATCTCTGGCATAAGTTGGTCGTGCAAGCATAGAGGGTTTCGTTGGCGACAAGCAAAAAAAAATGGGATCGAATTCCGAGTCCAAACGAGTATAATCGAGCCCGAAAAGTGAAGAGGTGAACAAAAAAAACCAATCAGCCGCCAGTTTTAGTTGCCGCGGCCGCGGAGGAGGAAGTCGCGGCCGCGAGAGTCCCAAAATGCCTTAGAACGTCCCATTTCTGGCCAGTCGAGCTTGCGGCCTCGGAGATGGTCGCGGCCGCGAGATTTCTTCACCGCGGCCGCGGAGGAGTAGTCGTGGCCGCGGGGGTCGCGACGAGCAGGATTTTTATTTTGGATTTTTGATCAGTTTTTCATTACGTTTCACTTAGGTTTTGAGTCTCTCTCGTACTTTTTCACCCCAGAATTCAGTTTTCTCTTATCTTTCACTTGGAATTGATCTTGGAATGTGAAAACACCAAGAGTAAGCTTTAGGATTTGGATTGTTCATTGCTTTTCGACATTGGATTCACTATTAATCGTAAGCATTTCTTTTCATTTTGTGTATGGATTTGATGGCTTGCTCAATTATGAATTGTTGTGTTGAATTGATGATGAGTAGCTAAACTCGTAAACTAGGGCTAGGGGATAATTGTTCCGGTTCAATTTCGTTTATGTGCATGTTGATTACTCAATCTATTCGAGTAGTTTTGAACCTAGGGTTGAATTGATTGATCACCATTTTAATCCATTTAATCGATTCTTAGAACCGAAAGAGGAGAAATCGATCGATCTAGGCTCGTTTAGAATAGACTTGTTCGGAGACGTATTGTCTATGTGCTAATTGACTCGATAATTGTTCATTTATGATTATTCTTTTGTTACGTGAGTTATTGAGAATGAATCTCTGAATGAGTGAGTTCTTCGTGTCCTTTGGCCGAGTTATCGATTGTTGTTTAATGTATTGAGAACCGGAAACGATTGTCCCCAACACCCTAGTCATTCTTATCATTCTTTGAATTGTGTTTTGGAGTGTG